TAATAATATGAGTGGACTTACGGAGGTTCAAAAACTTTGTCAGCAACCTATGAAGTAAGAATTCCCTGCTGACTTTATAGAAGATACTGCAGCACTGTGCAATTACTGCTGTGCTTTATTGCATTGTTTGATGTGTTCTTCAGGGACCCTGTGTTCAGCTTCAGTAGGGATAGAGCCAGAATAGACTGCTAAGCTTAAAATACAGAAAATATTATTTTCAATCCTTTTTTTTTTTTTAAGTGTAATATTGGTCCAAGTACAAACATTTCTCCCTTTCAAAGAGAGAGCTGCTAAGAAGCTGCTGAGAATCAATGACCCGGCAAGAACAGCCCCTAAAACATAAGACAAATTCTTTATTTCAAGAACTCTTATTTTCATTCAAAAAAAAGTTACACAAAGAATCAAATCGCTTAAAATAGGTGTTAAATAACTACTCTAATTAGAACAAAGAAGTATCCTTAGTATCCTTTTGTTCAAAAGGTTCATCTTGTAATTCCCATTATTTGGAACACGGTGAAATTAAAAAATAAAGCCTACAACTGACTAGGAAGTGTGTATTTTAAAGTTTTTCTCCAGAAGAGAAAGAAACATTCATGCATTATGTTTGAAATACTTTCAAAAGTAACCTAGCAGCCCTTTGCATACTTGTCACAGTTGGAAACACACTTTCAGACTACCAGTGGCTGTGCATCTCTGCTGGTGAGTAATTGTATTTGTGTACATTTTTAAATGAAAAAAACAAACAAACAAAAAACAATGATGTAGTTAAGAAGAGTAGTTATCAATTAACACCATAAAGCCTGAGTATAGGAATTCTTTTAACTGAGATGGACATATAAATTGTTTCTTAGAAACGCATGTAGCAGAGTGTAATGGCAAGCCAATCACGATTTGCAGCATGCTCCTTGTAAATGCAAGGAAACACCTGCTCAGAGCTTCAGCTGTTGGTTCAGTAAAGCAGTCATTTGCCACTGATGAGTTAGAGGTGTTAATATGAGTCAATGAAAGAGATATTAAATAAGAAGCTGTGCAGAGCTGAGGAAAACAGCATCCATGAGGTGGACTGTGCTGTGAAGCTTCTGAAAAGCCATATGCATTTGCTGTTTTGTTACTTGCATGAGCACCCTGTGCCCTGGTGACCACAGCTGGCTAGATGTACACCTCCATATCTTCAGGGTCCTAGGGAAGGAGGACAGCAAAGAACAGGCTTGTAGGATGAGGAACATGCTCTGCTTCTTGCTCTCTACTAAGTCTAAGGGGCCTTTACAACTGCTGGCCACCTGTGTTTTCAGGATAAAGTACTCTACTGCAAGGCAGCAACTAAACTAACCTCTTTACAGTGACAGTTCATTTTATCTTGTGTCTGATTTAATTCAGATAGAATCAACACTTTCGTATCTCAGGGATTTGTAGTGTCACTCTACCTCATGTCATGGAAACATGGAAGGATCTCAGCTTTGATTAAGGATGAGAACTAGGGTAAGACCATTAAGAATCAGACCTAGCTCTATTCAGTCAGTAATGAGGATCCAGTTTTTAAGATCCAGTGCTTTTAGACACATAATTGTAAAAACACATAAATACCTAGTTCTAGAAAAGTGGGGGGAAAGAATGGAGAGAAAATACTAGCAAATCCGGGAATATTTTTAATGTCAATGTTCAGTGTAAAGTAAGGGTTTGAAGGGATAATTTCACTGACCCACACTGGCAGATATTGTCCTAACTCTCTGGATCTTTGCTTTGAGTGAAATAATACTGTTACTGTAACTGTTAATACTGTTAGCCCTCTGTCTGTTTCTCAATAAACTGGACTTAAGAGTTCAGTTTTGAGTGCATGCAACATGCTACCATTTTTCTGGGAATCTCAGGTGTCACAGCAAAGACACAACACAGACTATAGAGAAGACAAGCATTTCAGTGTAGTGCCCAGGGCTCTTGGACTGCATCTTTCTCCCAAATTCAGGTTGGTAAATCTTTGCTGCTGTCGGTCAAAAAACAGTCTCTTCTTACTAAAATGTTGTGGCTATATATGCTGCTGTTTTTACTCTGAAACTATTCATATAATTTACACATGTGTCCTTCTGTTGTAAAATATATTCCTTTAGGCATTTTCTAGGATGCTTCTCAATGTTTAGCACTCCTAAGCATTTATATGTGACCTATTTACTATTCCAACTCAGTATCTCAAATTTTGGGGTACCTTTTTCTCATACTACTATATGAAGAAGCTTAAAGAAAAAAATGTTTGTCAGATTGGGATCTGAATTGTAGAGGACTTCCCTACCTGAAACTGAGACTCAAGTCGCTTCACTTAATTTACTGCTGCCAACAACTTCAGAAGGAGCCTTTGTCATTTGTCAGTACTGCCTACTTAGTGCCAAAGGAAACATCCTTCTGATTTGGACAGGCTCTTACATGCCTCCTGCCAGGCATTCATGATGAGCAAACATTTTCAGAACTGGAGAAAATAAACTGCAGATTGTTCAGCTTGTATGGGCTCTTTTTGAGTGGATGAATTGCTCATTCTAAGCAGCAGCTGTGCCTGTGGTCATGCATGTTAACTTTTCTGATTTGATCTGGGGTGTGAAGTCCACGAAAAGATCCCAGGTGTGTGTTACTGCCAGAATCACCGGAGCTGCTGGCCGTGTGTCTGAACTCTTCTTTTTTCTTGGCTCAAATCTCACTCTCTGAGGCATTTCTCACCACAAGACTTATCTTGAAGTTCAGTGGTGGGTGTCGCTTTACGGCAATCGACATCACTTTGTGGACAGTTTTACATTTGAAAGCATTTCTTTGAAGATGTTTGCCTTCAAAAGGAAATGACCAGGGGCGTTTACTGGCTGAAGACCTGTCCTCTGACCAAGTAACTCCAGCTTGGTATGGGAGACTGAGGCATGATACTGTTGTATCCTGGGAAGACGGAGAAGCAAGCTGGTGCCTCCCTGCTCCCTCTTATATGCTTCCTTGAATTTGCAAGGCCTGGAAGATGGGAACAAAGGAGTTCATGCTGTCATTCCAAAAAGAGCTGACTTGACTGGTTCGGACTTATAAATAAGTTTGTACTGTCAATGTCAGTAGTGATCAACTGAACAACACAACCTCCAACAACCCTTCACTTCTGAAGATAAACATCTGAACTGCGGGGAATGGCAGGAACCTAGATCATCTCTCTCTTGCTTTCTACAAAGACTTCTTGCTTTTATTTCCTCTCCCTTTTTTATCACCCATCTTCCCTTCCCCATCTCCCTAAGCAACTAGAATTGATACTAAAATTGGACTAATATTTGACCTGTTCTGTCTTAATCTGGCCATCTGGTACACATAGATTAATGAACCTTCTCTCCCTCCTATAATTGGAGCGAGGCAGTATGACTTTGTGCTGTGTGGGTAATCCAGGGGTGAGGATTCATGCTGACCCACAGGCATCCTGGGCCCAAGAAGGAACTCCTCAGCATATGCAGCCACAGCATTTTATTAGATCCCAGCAAAGATATAAGCACCACTCTTATCTCCCATTAGGTATTAGGGGAATGGAGCGTTATGTTCCTCTTTAATTTTTGTTTTCTGCTGCTTATCTGATGCTCTTAACGTATTGAACGTTGATTTTTGCGTCTTTTATTTTGCTCCCTATCAGAGCTGCTAAAAGCAGATAAATGTCAACAACTTTCAATAGATCCTGAAGGCTCTTGCTCTATACTCTTTTACACCACTGCCACACCACTGCAGCATCTGGCATCATTCCTGACTTGCACGTGTTCAGGGAGAATCAAATGCTGCCTGCCCTGTACTTCAGAGCATCACTAATAGCTGGTTTTGGTGTTTTTCAGATGTTAAAAAAAGAGATCTTTTTGTAAGCAAGTGACTTTGTCATTAAGAATTTGAAGGTAATTTTATACTACTTTGAATGATTAAAATAGTATCATATAATTTCCAATTTAATGTTACAAAAAAAAAAAAGAACAAAACAAAACCCCAACAACCCTACAACAAAACCTAGAAATGTTTGATGGAATGTCTCCACTAAAAAGAAAGAAAAATTTTCTATTTCATTTTATTTATTTTACCAATTTGGAAAATGCCGGTGACTTAACTTGCTGAGTCTCATAACCCCCAAGATGAAGAGTGGAGTAGAAGAGAAATGTTTGTTTTCATCAGTGTAGAATTTATCTTGTGTTTGTCAGTATGTCTGCAACCATGGTAGTTTCTTTATAAGAGTATTGATTGATTATCTTAGCAACATAAAAAGCATGCATGGTTTCTTACAAGCGTTTTTCTTGCTTGCTTAAGTGATCAAGTTCAGGAAGAGCGGCAGTTGTCTTTCCTGAATGAAATACTGCCCAGGTCTGTCTTTTTTGTGAGAAATGATCAATTTACCCCAAGAGAGCGTAGGTCATGCCTGGATTGTTAAACCTAGCAATTTGAGAAGGGAAGAGCTAATGCTCTCATAGCTTAATCAGGGAGAGTCTGTGCAGAACTAGACTCGTCTGTCAGGTGTGTCTGAAGCAAGCTGAAGCCAAACCTTATGCACTGCTGTGGCTCAGGGTTGTTTAACTTTTGTGTTGCTTTTTTGTACTAAGCAGCTTGTTACTCTGCTTTGGTGCGCTCATCTTACCTGCAGAAAACTGTAAGTACAACTGGTGACCAGAGTGTGCCAAAAAGTGTGTGACCAGAGTGGCCATCCTAAGTAGTGGTGACAAGAACAGAGACTTAATAAAAATAGAAATGTTAGGAGTTTACTTGGATGTCTTTCCCTGTTGTCTACTTCTACGTGATTTGTTTTTGATCATTTTGCTAGATGCTGATCTTTTTTACTGTTACACCATCTGTCTTGTGATGAAGGAAGACTCTTCCACACAGTATACTTGAATTATATATGTCACCTCATTGTTATCTCGCAAGAGACTAGAATTGCTGTTCATACTTAGTTTCCTATGATAAACTTACCTGTGCTTAACAAAATAATCAATTATTTACCTATTTTTCCCCCTGCTTTTAACTAGATAGACAAGAAAATTGTTCGTACGGAAATTGGAGTTCTTCTTCGCCTCTCACATCCCAACATTGTAAGTTCAGTCACATTTCACTCCATGTCTTAAAAAAATAATAATAATAATAATTTTTCTGAGCTCCACATTAACTAGTGTTATTCATTTATGTTGACTTGCAGGAATCTTAGTTAGAACTTTGGTTTCTCCTCATGTCTTCATTAACAATTCATTATGAAAGACCATTGAATTATACTTCACATTGTTGTTCTCATGGAATTGAGTGAGAAACTGTGCAAAAGGAGTTCTGTAATTCTGTAAAGGATAAGAGGAATTTGGCTTTGTCCATCTTCAGTGGAAATTCAGCAACTGTAGAGTGACAGAGGGATGTTAGGAACACTAAAGAAAGCAGGTTCTAAAACTGCTGTTTTCCACAGAGATTATGGAAGTGTGAGGACTGCAGTAAAAAGAAAAGGAATGCAAAAGGGATAAAAATAGTCAATAAATAAATAAATAAATAAAAGGAAAAAAAATCCAAAGCAAATAAAAAACCAGCAAGGTTGGGAGAATGTTTACAGTAATCTGCTTGACTGCAAGGTAAATGAGACACCAACTTTAGCTGGTATCCTCTACATTACTAGCTGTGGTCTGTGTCTTGCTGCTGGCACTGTGATATGCTCTACAAGAAGAAAAACATGAAGAATGAATCCTATGATTCTATTATTTTTGTTGTCTTTTACCAGATAAAACTGAAGGAGATATTTGAGACCCCTACAGATATCAGCCTTGTTCTGGAATTGGTCACAGGTGGAGAACTATTTGACAGGTAAGCTGTCTTTACATACCACATTGTGTATTTCCACCTGGTATGATATGGTCCTGTTTTTAGCTATACACGTAATCTTTGTCTGAGTAATTACTGGAGTTATTTCATCAAAATACAATTTCTTCACGTGAGACTTAATCTGCAGGAACTAGTTTTAAAAATGTGTTTGGAAATGTAAGTATTGGGAAGGTGTTTTTTTTTTAAGGATTACATGAGTTGAGAATGGAAGAAGTTGACAGTGAATTATGGAGAGCCTATACGGTACAAGGAAGGTGTTTAGCATGTATGTGGTGTCAGTGTGTGCCCCCAGGTGTGCTGGGGCAGGCAGAAGGCATCTCATAATGAAAAATGGTAGTTCGTAACCAGTTGGCCAGGAGGGCTGTGCTAGGTCAGATAATAAGTTTATAAGTGGAGAAACAGGAAAGAAATACTATTTGAAATTTGTAGGATTTATAAAACCAGTCATCATGTTAAAACATTTCTGCAAGATATCTGTTGAGTTCTTGTCTTAGTTTCAACTAAGACAGAATTGTTTTTCTTCAGAATGTCTGGGGCCATTGCAAAAACAGGAGAAGGAGAAAGAGACAGAAACCATATTACTCCTAATGTTTAGTGAGGTGCAAGTTTTGTGAAAAGATTATGGCTGTCATCTAGACATGCACTCTGTCACCCCTGCTGAGTCAGTGTAAGCAGTAGCCTGGACTTAGCAGGCAGTGAAGCCAAGCAGGTTCAGATCTCCTTCTTGTGAAAGTGGCATTGACAAAACAACTCGAAAAGGGTCACAGCCTTTCATCCTGTGGCAGTGCCTCATGTCTGAGGAAAGACGCCCTGATGGAAAGACATCCCTTCAAGGAAGACCTCACATGTAATCCAGGGAAATGAACCACCATGGAGAAAAGTACCAGTGCTTAAGGGAGCTAGATGCAGTAATGATGATATATGGAATTAACTTGAACAATAATACAAACTCCCAAGATCCAGATGACACTGTTATGTGCGTGACCTGTGTGGTGGAGAGCGGTACAGAGTGCACCATTTTGTTGTGCCAGCACCCTGACAGGAATAAACTGGAAGGATAAAAAACACCAACAGTGGATAAAATGACTAGCCTACTTTGACAATGTGAAGATAGTCTCTCTTCCTCCCTGCAGGCCTGTAAAGAAACTGGTTCAGACACTCAAAGAAAAAGAAACTGGTTCAATGGCTCCTACATCTGTTCAAATGAGAATGCTATCGTTTAGAAGTAAATGTTCCTCTTCTTGATAGAGAGGATATAGTGAGTGCCATCCTGTGGTTTTGAGGATGGAGAGGAAATGAGGAAATGGGGTGAAAAACCCATCTCAGCCCTACAGGCATAGGTACATGAGCTGCAAGGGCAAACTACCACAAGAGAGAGTTCTTCCAGGAAAAAGGCAGTTCTGATTTACAGAGGGTAGTTCTTCAGACAGGTTAAATGATCCAATCTGTGTGGATTTGATGGCCTTGCACATCAGAACCAGAGAAATAAGAGGCTCTAGTGGACATGCTGCACAGTGTACTCCAGTGCTATCAAGTTATAAGGGGGAAAAACCCATCTGTATTTCTTCAGTGCCAGGGGGATCCCAAGAGTTAACTGTATTGGAGGCCAAAGGAAGTGTAACTGAAATGAACGGCAAATGTACCCCATTTTAACTGGCCAAGAGACTCTCAGGAGATCTCAGGAGAGGGTACTTCAAGGATCCAAAAAGGTATCGATGAACTTTCAGTATAGCAGTCTTTGAGATGGAGGACATTAAGTTGCTATCTATCTTGCCTGGTCTCTCAGAGGACCCTTCTGTTTTGGGACTGCTATGAGAAGATGAACAGCGGATGCAGATCTCCACTACAGTGGTGCACCAATCAGGACTCCCTGGTTCCCATTCATCAGTTAATTCATCAACTGGACAACCATGGAGTAATCAACAAGACTCTCTCACCTTTCAGTAGTCCTATAGGTCCAATGCAAAAGTCCAGTGGAGAGTGAAGGCTAACAGTGAACTATCATGGCCTGAATGAAGTCACACCACTGCTAAGCACTGCTGTGCCAGACATATTAGAAATTCAATGTGAACTAGTGTCAGTATGAACTAGCCAAGTGGTATGCCACAACGGTCATAACTAATACTTTTTTCTCAATCCTTCTGGGAGCAGAATGCGGGCAGAGATTGCTTTTACTTGGAGAGGTGTCCATGGCACCTGGAATTGACTGCCCCAGGGGTGGAAACTCAGTCATGCCATTTGCCGTGGGCTGATCCAGACTACACTGGAACAGAGGAAGGCTCCTTATTACCTGCAATATGTTAATGTCAGGAATTACAGCAGAAGTTGTTTTTGAGAAAAGGAAGAAAAAAAACAACCTTGAAGCAGGTCCAAAACAACCCAGGATACCTTTGGCCTTCTTGGCCACAAGGACATACTGCTGCCTCATGGCCAACCTGTTGTTCGCCAGGAGCTCTTCAGAACTCCTTTCCAGTAGATCAGCCCCTAACCTGTACAAATGCAACCCCAAATGTAGATCTCCATACTTGCCTTTGTTGAGCCTCATAAGATGTTAAACAAGATTGGACCCGGTACTAAGCTCTGGGGAACACCACTAATTACAGTACTCCAGCTGGACTCTGCATATCTGATCACAACCCTTTGCACTCTGCCAGTCATCCAGTTCTCAATCCACCTCACTGTCTACTTGTCTAGCTCAGACTTCCTAAGCTCATCAGTGGGGTTATTCTGGGAAACATGTCAAAAGCCTTGCTGAAGTCAAGGTGGATGGGTCTAGTAAGTGTAAATTAAGTGATATTCTAGTCTCCAGCCCAGTTCTGGCAAATATGGCTTCTTAAAATTGCCCCTCCTCTTTCACCCTATATGTTTGAATCAACTATGCATGCTTGAAGAACATTTTAAACTATGGCACTGTGACAGAGCCTTGGAAGAGTATTCTGATACTGCTTAGTCTTCCAGTCCAGTATGTCCTATAGCAAGTCTGTGTTTCTCACATTGCCCTGTTACTGACAGTAGTCCTCATTGCAGCCAGGAAAGGATCACAGAATCACAGAATTGTAGGGGTTGGAAGGGACCTCCAGAGATCATCGAGTCCAACCCCCCTGCCAAAGCAGGTTCCCTACAGCAGGTCGCACAGGTAGGCATCCAGGCAGGTCTTGAACATCTCCAGAGAAGGAGACTCCACCACCTCCCTGGGCAGCCTGTTCCAGTGCTCCGTCACCTCACTGTAAAGAAGTTCTTGCGCACATTTGTGCAGAACTTCCTATGCTGCAGTTTCCAGCCGTTTCCCCTTGTCCTGTCTCCACTCACCACTGAAAAGAGTCCGGCCTCGCCATTCTGCCCCCCACACCTTAGATATTTATAGACCTGGATCAGGTCCCCTCTCAGTCTCCTTTTCTCAAGGCTGAACAGACCCAGTTCACTCAGCCTTTCTTCATAGGAGAGATGCTCCAGGTCCTTCACCATCTTTGTGGCCCTCTGCTGGACTCTTTCCAAGAGATCCCTGTCTTTTTTGTACTGAAGACTGGATGTTACTGAAGGAAACAGAAACCCAGAAATAGCATAACTGTTCAAATGTATGATAGAGTGATCATGCCAAGATTCACCCCTCCTTTCTCCATCTGCAAGAATGGTCCCTCTTAAAAATATCTTGTTTGCACTCTACTTGTGGATAGAAAATTGCAGGACATGAAGCACAGTGACAGGAGAAGGTTGTTTTTCATCTCTTTCTCACGATTTTCTTCTTACATCAACTTCTTAGGAAGAGTATCACAGAGTTTAGACAATGGACAATGAGGAGTTTGTGTTATGGAAAGAAATAATTTGGTTTTACTAGGTTTTTGAATGGCATAATATTATGCATACAAAATAAAGCAATAAACTCTATGTGGTTACTTTTAGAAGGCAGATTTATAATCAGAAAGCTTTTTTCAATATGAAAGAAGAAGACTAAAGGAAGAATTGATGGAATCAACTCTCTGAGTACTTTTAGTACTTTTAGGGACTGAATTTGAGCTCAAATAAATTAAATAAAACATTTTAATATGAGTCAGGGATCTCAGTAGAACAAAGATTAAATTCAGCAACCATCAGGGAATGTAGAATGACTTTACTGTAAAAACTGATGTAGATTTTCTGTTCAAAATTAGCTTTGACTTACTTATATAAGCAAATTGTTAATCAGGATAATTTTTTAAAACACTTCTACTACTAATAAATAAACTTCAGATTGTTTCAAGATTTGATTACATATGTAATCACTCTTCCCTCTTTATTATGTTAAACCCTTTAATTATTATTTCTTCAATTTTCATTACAGTTCTTTCCTTTTGGAATAATGATAATTATTCCTAAGGTTAATTCAGTTACATTTTTCTCTTGCTTCTTTACTTTACCCTCTGTCCCTTCAGCATTCTTTGGTTAAATATAATGTAATTGCTTTATACTTTCAAGATTGACTTTTTCTTCTATTCCATGCTGCCTTTTATCAGATTCTCAGTCCCTCTGTTGATCTGGTTTTGCTTCTGTCAGTTAACCTCTTAAGCGTGACAGTCTTGCAGTACAGTGAAGTCTGTTATCTGTCTTTTATGAGCTGTCTCTTTTTGAAGTTGATATTTTCCATTCAAATTTTACTGATATTTATTGATTTTCAGCAGAATCACTTTTCCAAATATTAATTTCAGAAAAAAAATCTATTCTAAATTTAAACCAAAGACTGATCTCATTTTCCTCAGAATATATGAAGATTGATAACAATAGCTTTCATTAGCTTCTTTCTTTTTTCAGTTTGATATGATTATGACAGTCCTTATGTTCTCCTTGTCTGTACTTTGTCATCTTGACTACAGGATCTCTTATTTCTTCCTTCATTTTATTAAGTACACCAACCAGTGTCTAAAAATACTGTTTATGGATGAAGGTCTCTCAACTCGCTTTCATTTCACATTTAATATTATTTGCTCTGAAATTTCAATTCCAGCTGA